TCTCAAGAACCACTGGGCCAGAAAAGCTGAAACTTATGTTGAAGCATGCTTGGGTAGTGTAGATATTAAATTGTTAAAATCATGACCCCTGAGGGTAGGGCGGGGCCCCAATAGGGAATCCCAGTTTTACATAGAAATTTATAGAACAAATCTTTAAAAATCCTCTTCTCAAGAACCACTGGGCAAGGAAAGCTGAAACTTATGTGGAAGCATCCTTGGGTAGTGTAGATATTAAATTCTTCAAATCATGACCCCTGGGGGTAGGGCATGGCTGCAATAGGGAATCCAAGTTTTACATAGAAATATATAGAACAAATCTTCAAAAATCTTCTTCTCAAGAACCACAGGGCCAGGAAAGCTGAAACTTATGTGAAAGCATCCTTGGGTAGCGTAGATATTAAATTGTTAAAATCACGACCCCCGGGGTTTGGCGGGGCCCCAATAGGGAATCCAAGTTTTACATAGAAATATATAGAACAAATCTTTAAAAATCTTCTTCTCAAGTACCACGGGGCCAGGAAAGCTAAAACTTATGTGGAAGTATATTTGGGTAGTGTAGATATTAAATTGTTAAAATTATGATCCCTGGGGGTAGGGCTGGACCACAATAGGGAATCCAAATTTTACATAGAAATATATAGAACAAATCTTTAAAAATCTTCTTCTCAAGAACCACTGGGCCAGGAAAGCTGAAACTTATGTGGAAGCATACTTGGGAAGTGTAGATATTAAAAATTGTTAATATCATGACCCCCGGGGGTAGGGCATGGCTACAATAGGGAATCTAATTTTACATAGAAATATATAGAACAAATCTTTAAAAATCTTCTTCTCAAGAACCACTGGGCAAGGAAAGCTGAAACTTATGTGGAAGCATACTTGGGTAGTGTAGATATTAAATTGTTAAAATCATGACCCCTGGGGGTAGGGCGGGGCCACAATAGGGAATCCAAATTTTACATAGAAATATATAGAACAAATCTTTAAAAATCTTCTTCTCAAGAACCACGGGACCAGGAAAGCTGAAACTTATGTTGAAGCCTACTTGGGTAGTGTAGATATTAAAAATTGTTAACATCATGACCCCTGGGGGTAGGGCGGGGCCACAATAAGGAATCCAAATTTTACATAGAAATATATAGAACAAATCTTTTAAAATCCTCTTCTCAAGAACCACTGGGCCAGGAAAGCTAAAACTTATGTGGAAGCATACTTGGGTAGTGTAGATATTAAATTGTTAAAATCATGACCCCTGGGGGTAGGGCGGGACCACAATAGGGAATCCAAATTTTACATAGAAATATATAGAACAAATCTTTAAAAATCTTCTTCTCAAGAACCATGCACGGGGCCAGGAAAGCTGAAACTTATGTGGAAGCCTACTTGGGTAGTGTAGGTATTAAAAATTGTTAACATCATGACCCCTGAGGGTAGGACGGGGCCACAATAAGGAATCCAAAGAGGTAGAGCCACTCTGGACCTTATTTGGCCCTGAGAATTTCTGAAAGTTCAAAACCGCTCAGTTTAGGTTGCAAATGCATTACTTATCACTTGGACTGTTGGTGACCACATATCTATCAATTGTGACGTAATTTCACATCTAGTCAATGAATTATGACGTCATAAAATGCGTCATTTCCTCATATCCTGTAAATTCCTTTAAAAATTACCTAAAGTTGAAGCATTTTTTCAATATTCCATATAGAGCACAACCTCTGATCCAAAATATGCCAATACATAATGAAAGGCCTTTTTCTGAAGATCAAAAAACATGTTTTATTTTTTGGATCGTGGGCTGTGCTCATATTTTAATTCTTTGCTGAAGGTAGTCAAATACACACATTTTCTGCAAATTTCAAGAACAATGCAATTTCTCAAAGCCTGTTCTCAAATATTTGGATTCTTAAAACGAAATTTCATTATAGAAAATGAATGCACCAAGTGTCTACTTTATTTTGATATATGAAAATGGAAAGAGGCTGATAGTTAATTAATCCATATACGTACAGGGCTATTTTATGCATAAGATGGCTCTTGCTTTTTTACATAGAAATATATAGAACAAATCTTTAAAAATCTTCTTCTCACGAACCACTGGGCCAGGAAATCTGAAACTTATGTGGAAGCATACTTGGGTAGTGTAGATATTAAATTATTAAAATCATGACCCCTGGGGGTAGGGGGGAGCCACAATAGGGAATCCAAGTTTTACACTGAAATATATACAACATATCTTTAAAAAATCTTCTTCTCAAGAACCACTGGGCCAGGAAAGCTGAAACTTATGTGGAAGCATCCTTGGGTAGTGCAGATATTAAATTGTTAAAATCATGACCCCTGGGGGTAGGGCTGGTGGGGCCACAATAGGGAATCCAAGTTTTACACTGAAATATATACAACATATCTTTAAAAAATCTTCTTCTCAAGAACCAGTGGGCCAGGAAAGCTGAAAGTTATGTGGAAGCATCCTGGGGTAGTGTAGATTCTAAGGTTTTTAAATCATAAAAGGGAAGGGGGTAGTGGGGCATGATAGGTATAGCAAGAGGGGGAATCTGGTAAAGAACTGCATCACCCAAGTTACTCAGGTGAGCGATGTGGCCCATGGGCCTCTTGTTTCATTTTTAGCTCACCTGAGCTGAAAGCTCAAGTGAGCTTTTCTGATCACATTTTGTCCAGCGTCCGTCTGTCTGTCCGTCTGTCTGTAAACTTTTCACATTTTCGACTTCTTCTCAAGAACCGCTGGGCCAATTTCAACCAAACTTGCCACAAAGTATCCTTGGGTAAAGGGGATTCAAGTTTGTTCAAATGAAGGGCCACGCCCTCATTCAAGGGGAGATAATTGGGAATTAATGAAAATTTGGTGGCATATTTTAAAAATCTTCTTCTCAAGAACCACTGTGCCAGGAAAGATGAAACTTATGGGGAAACATCCTCAAGTAGTGTAGATTCAAGTTTGTTTAAATCCTGACCCCCGGGGGTAGGGCGGGGCCAAAATGGCTGACCAAAGTTTTACATAGAAATATATAGGAAAATTCTTTAAAAATCTTCTTTTTAAGAATGACAATACCATATTAATTCATCATATTTATATGGAAGCATGCTCAGGTAGTGTAGATTAAAGTTTGTTCAAATCATGACCCCCGGGGGTAGGGCGTGGCCAAAATGGCCGACCAAAGTTTTACATAGAAATATATAGGAAAATTCTTTAAAAATCTTCTTCTCAAGAATGACAAAGCCATAATTCATCATATTTATGTTGCCGTTCAGGGGTTTTCTCCCTTGGGACAACTTGTGGGTCTCCCAATTCTGTATATTGGACAAAAGAACTATGAGTCAGGATTAAAGTTTATAAAAATTTATTAATGCTTGTTGTATTTAATTTGCACATCTCTGAATAATTATCCCTATTTCTTACTCCCGTAGAAATATTGTTTCTCTCCCAGAATGGGAATAAAATACTCTTACATGGGAGAATTCTGTTTTAGGGAATTGTATATATAAATTTACAAAAGCATAAAAGTATTCATCTTTTCCCAAAATATTGGGAGTTCTTTACATTACAATTATATTATAGTCAGATATAGTTATGGGAGAGTTATTTTACCTCCCGCTAATTTTCTCCCACAGGCTAATTCAATATAAATAGTAAAAAGTTACTGTAATAATAAAATATGTTACAAAATTCATCAGCTCCCCAAAATTAATTAATTAATTATGTCACAGTAATTTCCCAACGATATCGCTCCCAGCCATGCTGGCGATGCGATGATCTAACCTACTCTAACCTATTCTAAACCCATTCTAAACCTATTCTAAACCTATTCTAAATCTGTTCTAAACCTGTTCTAATCCCTTTCTGACTGTCAGTCGATTTGCGCTGGCTTATATTGGCATTGGGCTCGATTGTCGTGACGTCACGACAAAGTGAAAATACCCGCCATGCTTGTTAGTTGATATGCTGCCATGCCGATCGAACCGACGAAAGGAAACGCGCACCCTAGGGCGCGGATAATTATTATGGGAAATATTCATTATACTTATCGCTGATCGACTTTGTAAGCATAAACAAAACAATCATAAACAGTTCAAGCGTGACTTGGGAATGCAAGATATCGAGGAATTTCGGGCGTCACGAAGTACCGACCTCGTCCCAATGGTACACTTGGTAAATACAATGTTGTTGATGAAATTATACATACAATTAATTAAACATGAATTTGTCATTTTATGGACCAGTATATATTGCAGGGAGTTTTTGTTTAACTTGTACTATGTATTTCCACAGAAAATGTTACTCATAGTAACAGGAATAATTACGGAACCGTAACATTTATATGGAAGCATGCTCAAGACGTAGTGTAGATTCAAGTTTGTTCAAATCATGACCCCCGGGGTAGGGCGGGGCCAAAATGGCCGACCAAAGTTTTACATAGAAATATATTGGAAAATTCTTTAAAAATCTTCTTCTCAAGAATGACAAAGCCATAATTCATCATATTTATATGGAAGCATGTTCAAGTAGTGTAGATTCAAATTTGTTCAAATCATGACCCCCGGGGGTAGGGCGTGGCCAAAATGGCCGACCAAAGTTTTACATAGAAATATATAGGAAAATTCTTTAAAAATCTTCTTCTCAAGAATGACAAAGCCATTATTCATCATATTTATATGGAAGCATGCTCAGGTAGTGTAGATTCAAGTGTGTTCAAATCATGACCCCCGGGGGTAGGGCGTGGCCAAAATGGCAGACCAAAGTTATACATAGAATTATATAGGAAAATTCTTTAAAAATCTTCTTCTCAAGAATGACAAAGCCATAATTCATCATATTTATATGGAAGCATGCTCAATTAGTGTAGATTCAAGTTTGTTCAAATCATGACCCCAAGGGGTAGGGCGGGACCAAAATGGCAGACCAAAGTTTTTAAAGATATATGTAGGAAAAATTCTATAAAAATCATTTTCTAAAAAATAGCAAATCCATGATTGTTGGTCATGGGACTACTTTTGGATTGAAACTTTACAATTAAAAGCCATTTTCTACTTTTTCCTACCCTTAGTGCTCAGGTGAGCGATGTGGCCCATGGGCCTCTTGTTGGCAATTTGATTTAGGCCTACAGTATTAAAATTGGACTCGTGTACTAGGAATATCATTTCTTTAGCAGAATTATCCCACTGAATTAAAAGGAACTCTTTTTTCAGGTGCGCATGATGCAGCTTCCTGGATGGTGTGTAGGCTGTTTGTCAACATGTGAATCCCATGTGCATTTCGAGGTAGGTAAGTTTACTGTCGATTTTTTCTTTCTAGTGAAAAAATTATAAAATTTTTGACATGTGTTGTTGGTTTTTAATTATAACTGAGTATGCTTAGAAAATTTTCAAACTTAGTAGGAAAATTAAAAGCCGCATAAGGCATATTTTTTCTGATCTCAAATTTTTGTTTAAGCATTAATCTTTTTTTTCTCTTTCATTAATTTTCTGCTGAGAGTCTAATAAATTAAATAATTTAATTCAAGCTATATAGTGATATAGTGAAATTATTTCCTTGTGTGAGACCTAAAGAGGGACAGGTAACTCTCATTTTCACTAAAATTTCTCTGATTTCAGGAGTTATCTCCCCTTGAAAAGATCAATAATGGCGGATAAACAATGTGGCATGCAGTCTGGTCACCAACGGACAGTTCTGACACTCATACCTGTATTTCTACCAATTACCTCAGTAACCTTTGTTGTGTTCATCACACAGGTAAGAAAAACAAGATTTTTAATTCAAAAAATTTTAATGAGCAAAATAATAAAGAATATAACATTTTTACATGTACAGACTCTCTCGTAGAAGAAAATGTCACGTTTTACATACAATAATACATTATTCACATGTCCACATTTTCCCCATTTACCCAGTTGAAAATAATCAATGCATAATCTGATAATGAACCCTAAAAACAATTATTACATGTAAGATAGTTCACAAAATATATTTTTAAATACAAATTTTATACATTTGAAATGCATGTACATATCATCAATGCCCCCCCCCCCCACCCTCCCTTCACAGTCTTACAATTTCCTTTTTAATTTTGGATCTGTTAATGATTTACTGTAAGTGTCTTTAGATTTTTTATCGTACAGCTGATATCTTTTAGATCTATAGAATTTTCTTTGAAATTTATATTTTAACAGTTTTTGTTTCATTTTAAAGTAATTTTGTCTATTTTGTTGTTGTTTTAGATGATGGACCACTCTACTTCCTTTGACAACAGGTGCCCCTACAGATTCACAAAGTTCCAGTGTTGAGTTTCCATGACCCCTATTAAGTGAGTGCACAACTTTATGTATTCTACTTTCAAAATTCCTACTACTTGTAATACATTTTGGATTTGATTTTAAATATGCCCTATTTACAGATTCAGATTTTTGTGTACAAGCATGATATTTGATTCTATCAAGATTACTTTGTCCTAAAGTCAAATTTATGCAGTCTTTTAACTAACATGTCTTTTTCTGTCATGTTTAATTCAAAGTCACTAGGCAACACTGAAGATTTCCAAAATTACTTTTCAGTCCACGACAGGAAAAGGAATAGAGTTGACAGGACTTCCCGCACTGTCCCTGGTAGCAGTTTATGAGGGAACCAACCGCAGTAGACACAGCACGCTTCATCAAAGGTAAGTCGCCTGAGTTGTGTTTGTAGCAATTCTCGTACTCTGTCCTGCATCGAAGCTTCAGGTCCAAGGCAAATCTTCTCTGCATGGATTTTCTTGTGGCCTTGGTTCTTCCCGGAAACATGTGACTGCTGAATGAAGCCTTAGCAGTCTGTTTTCTTTGAGAGTCAAAGAAGTGACGCAAGTCCTTAAGGTTTTCAATCACATGTCCTTGTTTTTCAGATGCACCAGATGCAGCGGCACTGTCTCCATCACTTGTGAAATGGGATATGACTAGTGGCCGGTCATCATTTTGTAACTCACCAACACAATTAGCGGCCAATCGCTTCTCGTCTCCAATGGTGGTCTCCGGATGAATGGTTGCAGTGCAGTCTTAGTGTCCTTGGCAGGTAACTTCTTTTCCTTTGCTTCGTAGGTGTGCGCCTTTCTTGCATAGTTTATTCCCACAGAAAACTGCTACCACATTCTTCCTCTGAGTTACATTTTCACTTACGGTATACGTCACTTGGGTGGCAGCTTGGAATGGGGTTTTCCCAATTGCACTGAAGGTGGCATTATTGTACCGAGCATCTCCTTCCCCTCTGATGGGGGTATCCGGAAGTCCACATTTTTAGCTCTACTGGTCAGAGACCAGAAGAGCTTATGCGATAGTAATGCGTCCGGCGTCCGTCCATCTGTCCGTCTGTCTGTCTGTCCGTCTGTCTGTAAACAATTTTTCAAAATGCTACTCCTCCTACAGTTTTGGTCTAATTTCAATATAACTTGGCACACAAGTAGACTACACTAAGATACATAATTCTGTGTATCGAATTTTAATTTTGATGAACTGTGTTGCCGTGGTTACTTAAAATAGAAATGTCTGTAAAATTGTTTCAAAATGCTACTCCTCCTACAGTTTTGGTCTGATTTCAGTATAACTTGGCACACAAGTAGACTAAACTAAGATACATAATTCTGTGTATTGGTTTTTGATTTCAATGAAAGGTGTTGCAGTGGTTACTAAAAATAGAAATTTCTGTGAAATTCTTTCAAAATGCTACTCCTCCTACAGTTTTGATCTGATTTCAGTATAAGTTGGCAAACAAGTAGACTATACACTAAGATACATAATTCTGTGTATTGGTTTTTGATTTCGATGAGCGGTGTTGCCGTGGTTACTAAAAATAGAAATTTCTGTGAATTTCTTTCAAAATGCTACTCCTCCTACAGTTTTGGTCTGATTTCAGTATAACTTGGCACACAAGTAGACTACACTAAGATACATCATTCTGTTTATCAGTTTTTGATTTCGATGAACGATGTTGCTGTGGTTACTAAAAATAGAAATTTCTGTAAAATTGTTTCAAAATGCTACTCCTCCGACAGTTTTGGTCTGATTTCAGTATAACTTGGCACACAAGTAGACTACACTAAGATACATAATTCTGTGTATCGGTTTTTTATTTCGATGAAAGGTGTTGCAGTGGTTACTAAAAATAGAAATTTCTGTGAAATTCTTTCAAAATGCTACTCCTCCTACAGTTTTGGTCTGATTTCAGTATAACTTGGCACACAAGTAGACTACACTAAGATACATCATTCTGTGTATTGGTTTTTGATTTCGATGAACGGTGTTGCCGTGGTTACTAAAAATAGAAATTTCTGTGAATTTCTTTCAAAATGCTACTCCTCCTACAGTTTTGGTCTGATTTCAGTATAACTTGGCACACAAGTAGACTACACTAAGATACATCATTCTGTTTATCAGTTTTTGATTACGATGAACGATGTTGCTGTGGTTACTAAAAATAGAAATTTCTGTAAAATTGTTTCAAAATGCTACTCCTCCTACAGTTTTGGTCTGATTTCAGTATAACTTGGCACACAAGTAGACTACACTAAGATACATAATTCTGTGGATCGGTTTTTGATTTCGATGAAAGGTGTTGCAGTGGTTACTAAAAATAGAAATTTCTGTGAAATTCTTTCAAAATGCTACTCCTCCTACAGTTTTGGTCTGATTTCAGTATAACTTGGCAAACAAGTAGAATACACCAAGATACATAATTCTGTGTATCGGTTTTTGATTTCGATGAAAGGTGTTGCAGTGGTTACTAAAAATAGAAATTTCTGTGAAATTCTTTCAAAATGCTACTCCTCCTACAGTTTTGGTCTGATTTCAATATAACTTGGCACACAAGTAGAATACACTAAGATACATAATCCTGTGTATCGAATTGTAATTTTGATGAACTGTGTTGCCGTGGTTACTTAAAATAGAAATGTCTGTAAAATTGTTTCAAAATGCTACTCCTCCTACAGTTTTGGTCTGATTTCAGTATAACTTGGCACACAAGTAGACTACACTAAGAACATAAAGAGACTTTATCAACGATCATTATTCTATTTAATGCTGTTTATAAAGTTTCAAATCCCAGCTGCTTAAGTACTTTCTCTTCCTTTGCTATAAGTTCAAACCAGTAGAGCTTCAGTCTCAACAGAGACTTCTGGTTCATTAAGTTCTTGAATATTCTGCCGAATTTTCTTCATACTGTTTTTATTTACATTGGTTATAATTTTCCCCACTTTGTTGCAGGTCTGTTGCATGTTGGTGGCTGACGCTGGTTTAATATATGCACCAAGAAGCATACTACACATACCCTCTGTTGTAAGACTGGTACCCAGGTGACCGACAGCCATGGCCACATTCAGCTGTGCAGCTCTTCATCCCCTGCCAGATCTTCTCACCTCTTCGTAAAGCTTTTCTCGGTGACTGGTATAGTGGCACTTCTTACATCGAATGTAAAGGATCCATGCAAGGCCTCGTTTTTCCTCCCCATGCTGATTCCAGTCCAGTTGACCATCACAGTCTGGAAAATTCTGTGAGTGTTCTTTAAATGCATTGTTCCACAATTTAGCAGTCTTTTCTTGGTGAAGTACTTTGTATAATTTTGAATTTGGGTCATCTGACACAGATTCCATGTAGGTGTCCACTGGCTGGACCTCACTTGGCCTGGGTCGTAAAAACTTCATCTCGCTGCTTCGGCTCTTGGCATCTATAACTGCAAACACTCCATTTTTCTGTGGCCGTACAATGTCCTGAAATTCTTCTTTACTTAGTCTTCTTATGGGAACCAGAGATTGGACTAGGCTGGTGGTCCCTATTTTCTTCTGGCCTTTGTTGTGAGGAATACTTCCTTTTTTAGGTCACCTGAGTAAACTCAGGTGACCTATTGCTATCTGTTTTCGTCCGTCGTCGTGCGTTGTGCATTGTCCGTTAACATTTGAACATTTTCAGCTTCTTCTCTGCAACCACTGAACCAATTTCAACCAAATTTGGCACAAAGCATCTATGGGTGAAGGGGAATAAAAATTGTGAATTTCATGATCCCTGCCCCCCTGGGGCCTTAGGGGTGGGGCCAAAACCACTAAAATTAATGCAATCTTTAAAAATCTTCTTCTTTACTCCTGGACATCAAGCAGTCAAACTGTTTGCATGATTGTAACAAGCAATGAGTCCTCTACCAAAATTGTGAAATTCATGGCCTTGGGGTCAGGGGTTCTAGTGCTAGGGTGGGGCTAAATAAGTAGGTATTGAAAATGCATTATTTCTTTGAAAATCTTCTTCTCTGCTCCTGGGTATTAAATAAACCAACTAAGTACATAGTTATGATGAGCAAGAGTACTTCTACCAAAATTGTGAATTTTATGGCCCCGGGGTCAGGGGTTCTTGTTTTAGGGTGGGGCCCTAATGATTATATATATTGTGAAATGCATGATTTCTTTGAACATCTTATCCTTTGCTCCTGGTTAATATGCTAATGATCTAATTTTATATTTAAGGCCAGTATTTATTTTATTTTCATTTTTACAAACCCTCCGCTCAAGGTTTTGAATTTTCAGAAAAAAATAAAAATATTTTTTTTTCCAATGTCAAATTTGAGTCGGGATCGCGATTTCAATTTTACGATCTCGCACTTCCGGTTTTACGATGAAACAGCAGGTAAATAAAGCTAGATCTGATAAGATAACTTGGTTTAGTGTAAAATTCATCGATAAGAGTGCCATTCAAAACGTTTCACCCGTTCGAAGGACAAATAAAATGCTGACGACTTTGTTGCACAATGACATGCTGGTGAGATAATTAAAGTATGTATTCGTTTCAAAAGTTACTGTCTGTAAATTATTTTCCTCCCCCAGGTTTTAAACTGCTCGTGGTAGCTATTGCATATTGCCAGCGACATTGTTTAGGTCTCTGTTATAGCTTACAGTCTAAGCATCATTCTTCAGAAAAGAGTTGCTTATGCAATAATGAATAAAACTATGGGAGAAGTGAAGTCCATTTGAGGAAGAAATAAACAATAACCTGAAGAAATAAAAAAAAAATTCAACTATTAAAAGGCAAGAATATGCAAGAATATACAATTATATACAGGCATGTAGTATCATTTGTATCAGCCAGAAAAATTATTTTACACTTAATTGAAAAAATGTTCACCCTACTCCCCAATACTCCCTGTCTGTTTTACAATAGGAATTATAACTTTAGGGTTCAAGTAACTTTTAGAACAATGTCTACACATTCACCTAACACATATGAAAAAAATGAAGATATATTGAAAGACTTTTAAAGAATTGATTTTTAGCTCTACTGGTCAGAGACCAGAAGAGCTTATGCGATGGTAATGCTTCCGTCGTCCGTCCATCTGTCTGTCTGTCCGTCTGTCTGTCTGTAAACAATTTTTCAAAATGCTACTCCTCCTACAGTTTTGGTCTGATTTCAATATAACTTGGCACACAAGTAGACTACACTAAGATACATAATTCTGTATATCGGTTTTTGATTTCAATGAACGGTGTTGCCGTGGTTACTAAAAATAGAAATTTCTGTGAAATTCTTTCAAAATGTTACTCCTCCTACAGTTTTGGTCTGATTTCAGTATAACTTGGCACACAAGTAGACTACACTAAGATACATCATTCTGTGTATCGGTTTTTGATTTCGATGAACGGTGTTGCCGTGGTTACTAAAAATAGAAATTTCTGTGAAATTCTTTCAAAATGCTACTCCTTCTACAGTTTTGGTCTGATTTCAATATAACTTGGCACACAAGTAGACTACACTAAGATACATAATTCTGTGTATCGGTTTTTGATTTCAATGAACAGTGTTGCCGTGGTTACTAAAAATAGAAGTTTCTGTGAAATTCTTTCAAAATGCTACTCCTTCTACAGTTTTGGTCTGATTTCAATATAACTTGGCACACAAGTAGACTACACTAAGATACATAATTCTGTGTATCGGTTTTTGATTTCGTTGAACAGTGTTGCCGTGGTTACTAAAAATAGGATTTTTTGTGAAATTCTTTCAAAATGCTACTCCTCCTACAGTTTTGGTCTGATTTCAATATAACATGGCACACAAGTAGACTACACTAAGATACATAATTCTGTGTATCGGTTTTTGATTTCGATGAACGGTGTTGCCGTGGTTACTAAAAATAGAAATTTCTGTGAAATTCTTTCAAAATGCTACTCCTTCTATAGTTTTGGTCTGATTTCAATATAACTTGGCACACAAGTAGACTACACTAAGATACATAATTCTATGTATCGGTTTTTGATTTCGATGAACGGTGTTGCCGTGGTTACTAAAAATAGAAATTTCTGTGAAATTCTTTCAAAATGCTACACCTCCTACAGTTTTGGTCTGATTTCAATATAACATGGCACACAAGTAGACTACACTAAGGTACGTAATTCTGTATATCAGTTTTTCACTTCAATGAATGGTGTTGCCATGGTTACTAAAAATAGAAATTTCTGTCAAATACTCTCAAAATGCTACTCCAAATAGTCTGGTTATAATATAATGTGGCATGCAAGTAGACTACACTAAGAACATAAAGAGACTTAATCAAGGATCATTATTCTATTTATTGCTGTTGAAAGGTTCAATTTCCAACTGCTTAAGTGCTTTTCTCTTCCTTTGCTATAAGTACAAACCAGTAGAGCTTCAGTCTCGACAGAGACTTCTGGTTGTGTAATTACGCGAGAAGGTATGCTAGCGAAAATTTCATTCTTGCGTATAATAGAATCCCATAAGATGCAATGACCACAAATCGCGAAAATTTTGTCTCACTAATAAAGAGTCAATGACTATCTCATGAAAATAAGGTGTCGCGAAAAATAAGTGATCTAGAGTACAAGGATGAGAATATGTTGTAGATTAAAAATTGTTCAAGGCATCACCCTGGGGACAAAGGATATGGTCTTAAGGTGCCGCTATAATGTGACAAAAAGTTATGTTTTTGTTAAAACTTGGATATTTTGCTTACTCTAGGCCTACAAGGACTAGGGATATTAAATCTTGTCAAGGCAAGACAAAAATAGGGTGGGTCATTAAAAACTTCTTATGCGTGGTTAGGACGGGGTCATAATGGGGAATCCCTGAGTTTTACATTGAAATATGTAGAAAAAATCTTTTAAAAATCTTCTTCTGAAGAACCATGTCACCTTCACCAATAGGTGCAGTGGTTAGAGCGTCTGCTTTAGAGTCACAAAGTAAGGAGTCATCCCTATCTCGCAGGTACGAATCCCACTGTGGGATGTAGAGACAGGTTCTTCGGATGAGACCGTATAAGCCAGGGTCCTGTGTCACAGTATACACTTATTTAATGACTACGAGGTAAACAGTCAAATTGTTGTCCCGAGGTAGTGGGGGAGACCTGGAAAACTGTTGCCGGCCGAGGGCAACAGTTTTCCAGGTCTCCCCCACTACCGAGGGACAACAGTTTGACTGTTTCACCGAGTAGTCATTGAATAAGTGTTTTATTACCTAACCTACTATATAATTAATTAAATTGGAATAAAAACACACAAACAATCAATAAAAAGGTTTCACAACTGTTTATTCAAATACTTGTCTATTAATTAGCTGAACACAAAATATAAAGATTAAATCAATATTTTTAATTTAAAGTAATACTTAATAAATTGACTGTTTGTGTGTTTTATTTAAATTTGATTAATTATAGAGCAGGTAAATAGTGATGTCATGATCATCAAAATGCTTGAATATCACGATGACGCTTTAAACAGGCAACAGTTCATTCTGTGGCCCGGTCAACAGTTCACTGTTTCATGATCACACAAAAACATAAAGTAAACCGTGAAACAGTTCAAAATGCCTAATTATAATTTATATAGTAGCCGGGTTAGGTAATAATAGGTGCTAGCACATTTCCTCACTGCTCAATGGCCTTATGTGCAGAGTATAGGACAAATCTTGAGATCTCCATCGACAAGTGGTAGCATCTACATATGAATGAAAAATTCTTGGGAGGGATAATGAAAAATTCTTGAGAGGGATGTTTAAAACAGCATACAATCAATCATCTCAAAAACCAATGGACCAGAAAATCTGAAACTTACAAGTATGTGGAAGCATCCTTGGGTAGAGTAGATTCTAAATTGTTCAAATCATGGCCCCAGGGCGTACATGTAGGGTGGGGCCACAATAGCTATTGCAAGGTGAAAACTGTGGCCCATGGGCCTCTTGTTGCGTTTTGTAGCCCACCTTCATTGAAAAAATCAATCTTTTTTTTTAAAAGTTGCTTTATTCTCGATGCATTTAATATTTTAATTTAGGTCAAACACTTGGCCCATCAGCGAGTGGTACAGGTGGCCTGTGGGAGTCGGGACGCCCAGACCCTGGCCCTCACAGACGAGGGCTACGTCTACTCCTGGGGGGACGGGGACTTTGGAAAACTGGGTCGAGGGGGGAGTGAGGGATGTAATGTCCCTCACGAAGTGGAGAGACTGAGGGATCAGAAGGTGTGTCAGATTGAGTGTGGTGCCCAGTTCTCATTGGCTCTGACCAAGTCTGGACAAGTGTGGACATGGTGAGCATTTATTCCATAATGAATAATTATATACATGTACTAGATATGGCTTACCTTTGAATTGCATGTGTCTGTGCTTGATAAAGAATGAAATGATTCCATTGCCTTTTACCAATCAGTTTTTCAAAGGAATCATACCTACTGGTAAATTAATTTTGCTGCAGCTTAAGATTTATCAGGTCACAGAAATAGAAGAGGAATGATAAATTGATGTGCTTCAATTCATGTTTTTAGGGGCAAAGATGACTATTTTCGATTGGGTCATGGAACTGATGCTCATGTAAGGAAGCCTCAGATTGTGGAGGGACTGAAGGGGAAGAAGATTGTCCATGTAGCCGTGGGGGCACTCCACTGTCTGGCTGTCACTGACACGGGGCAGGTGAGTCAAATGTACTCAAGTTTTACAGACCTATGGGAGATATTTTTAAAATATATAATGTAAACTTGGTTGAATTTTACATTGAAGATAAGTAAACATACATGTACATCCACAGCTTGTTAATCACTATTCAGTCATTTTGTGTCAAGAACCAGGATTAGATGGATGGAAGTTTACTGCCCTAATAGTTTTGATATTTTGAAATACAATAATTGAAGGATCTGAAATTGTTTAACATTCTCACTATGAATTTTTTGTCTAGGTGTATGCTTGGGGAGATAATGACCACGGACAGCAAGGAAATGGAACCACCACAGTTAACAGAAAGCCAGCCCTGGTGGTGCTGGAGGGGTACAAGATCAGTAAGGTAGCATGTGGTTCCTCCCACAGCATAGCCTGGGCCACCACAGACATGTCTGTTCCCACCACCCACGAGCCGGTACTGTTCTCCACCTCCAGGGATCCCCTGGGGGCAACACTACTGGGTAAGGATTAGTATTATAAAGTCTTATTAAATAAAGATCCGACTCTTTGAGGGGCGGGGTGTGAAGAAGAGATGTGGTTCGTCTTGGGTGGACTTTGCTAATTTCTTTTGCCCTTGTGTTTCTTTTTTTAACATTGACCTGTAGTGGTATTTCTCCTATTGATTAAATTTCTTTTTTTTAATTCTTGTGCATTTCTTTTATAAAATAAATGTTTTTTTTCCCTGTTGATTGATAAAGGTGTGAACGAGAGCAATGCAGAGGAGAACTCGGTATCTACAGCTGCCTCCCAAAATTCAACTTCCAAAACTGTACGTCCATCTCTGTCCAAAATCATTCTATCACAGGACACAGACACCAGTAAACAGCAGGCCCTGGGTTATATTCTGACCGCTCTACAGATTCTCTACTCCAGGTAAAGGCTTTCTGGTCTTTCTGAATTTATCTTTTGAATAGCCTTGATTATAAAAAAGGGAAGTACAGTTAAACTGGTTAAAATATACTGAGAACTTAATGGATGTCATGAATTAAGTTTACCAATGCACCAAATAAATTGTCTAGCCCTGGAACTTCTTTATAAGTGTGTTTTACTGTAAATAGTGGGAGGGGGTGAGGAGGGGCCTAGGAGGGGGCTTGACTCCTAGATGTAAAATGTAATTCACTGAAGTAAAATACGATACATGTATTATTTCTTTAAATAATAGTATTTAAACTCATAAGAATTTTCGTGTTAAACAGAGATGCAATAGTGAAGTCCCTGGAGACAGATGGCCAGCCTGTGCCAGTTTCACCAGAAATGAAGCCCCTGGGTATGACAGGTTCCCTGGCGGCCAGCACTGATGAGCTCCCTGTCAGGAGAATCTACACAGGGAGGGGATGGACGAGGTGCTGGACCACGCGGACATACAGCTGACAGTGGGGGAGACTGTCACAGAAACTGTCAGTGGGGTAGGTTTTATATAGAATAAAGAAATGCCATTTGCTCATAAACTGATTTTACAATTCACTTATAGAAGGAAAAAAATATAATTTAGACATAAACTGGTTCTAACTTGCATTTTTGATATATAGATTCTTGTTTATCAGGGTCCTAACCTGAAACTCACTACAAGCAAGTAAAAACATGAACTATAAATTTGCTTGCGACTGAAATATTTCCGAAAAGATGTTGTGTTGGAAAGTTGTGAAACATTTATAATAGAGGTAATAATTTTGTTTCATATTATTTTAGGTGCATTCAGAAATCTCATCATACACAAGCATGCAAAGTCTGGCAGCTTTAGTTCCCATGGAGACAAGCATCATAGCAGAGACCTTGACCTCTGCAGATGAGGTCATGAGTACCATGGAAGCCGGCCCAACAAATTTTCCATCAGGTCTGGATGACTTCACTGCCCGAATGTCTGTTAACGATGCTCGTAATTTGGTAGAACTTCTGAAGCTTGCTGTGGCGTCCAGAATGGGAGAACTGGCTAAAGAAGGACTGTCAGACATCCTTACTCGACTGGCCAAGGCATATCCTCAGGTACATCTCCCATTCTGTTTAACTGAATAAGTCATTTGTGTGATTTTATGTTACATTTCATCAGATGAGGATTGAATTAATATTCTAATAATTTCCTTTCATATATCTTGAATTAAGCTTTAAAACTGCAATGTTTGAAAAAAAATTTTTTTAAGGCTTTGAGCTGTTTCATGCATATTAGATACCGTATAACTGGTTTTTAATGCGGGAGCAAATTTTTGCGATTGGATCCTGAAATAGGTATATTTATTTTTTGCGATTTTAATTTTTGCGATTTCACTTTGACAATAAAGTCTATTTTTATTGAATTTCATTACTAGACATTTAAACAATAAAGTCTATTTTTATTTTTTATTGAACAAACCAAAGCAATTTAAAATACAGGTGACTCTCGATGGCTTGAACTCTGATTTCGGGAAGTTCTCGATCTCTTGAAGTGAACCCCTGGTCCCGTTTTTTTTTGAAACCATTGAAACTATAGAACTAAGCAATTTTACTCCTGATCTCTCGAACTTCTATTTCTCGAACCAAAACCTGGGCCCCGTTACACATATTTCATTGAATTTCACTCTCTATCTCTCGAAGTTTTGTATACACGCCAATCAAGCGTAAAATAGTTGCAGTCTGGACTTACCTGGAAACAGTGAAGGCCTTGGGCTATTGGGTGTTTACATAGATGACACTACACCTGTGGGTTCCGTGTGTTGTTATAATTAATTGGTTATTATTCACAGGGTAAATTAGAAACAAAGTCACAAGTATTTTGAATTAATTGAAACCGAGACGATAATTCTTTGAAATTAATTTATAGATGTTCGTTTCAGTAAGTTCCCATAGACTATGAACTTTCATTTATGGTTATAGAGAGTTTATATAATCTCAGTATGAAATATTACACAAGAAATTCTTTTCTCAAGGACAGAATACCGATTAAGAAAAATCTTGTAAACACTGGTGCAGGACCCGCTCAAGCCGGGGAATAGCCAAACTGACAATTGCTATTCGAGTTTCATATAAATAAATCATGAAATACAATGTAGGAACAAATAAATATTGAATCTTAAGGAATTCGTTTTATTTATTCGAAAAACAATCATTGTTGTTGATATCAAGTAAATTACCTGTAAAATACGATTGAAAACATGCAATGGCATTATTTACTGCAGAACTTCGATGCTACTGAAAATTTTTATTTACGTATTTTTTGGGATTTATTTTTTTGTGACTTGATCGCAGAAATCGCAAAAAATAGCACCCCGTAGAAAAATCCAGTTATACGGTATCTTTGAGAACTTGAATACTGCAGACAAATGTTAAATAATTGAGGCTTCATTCTTTTACAATCACTCCTGCAGTTAAAACCTCTTTCCATTCTTTTATATTGTGTAATCATTTTAAATTAAATTCATTGTTTTTATTTTAAGGTGGCTGAGATGTTGTTGGAGCTGTGTGTTACAGAGTTGGAGGATGTGGCATCAGATCGAGTCTGTGGGAGGCTACCACAGCCGGTGGTACAGGAGTGTCCCCACCCCTACAGTGATGATACCTCACTCAGCGGCACAGTCAAAATACCAGGTAAATAATCAGCACAGTGGCACAGTAAAAATACTGGTAGATAATCAGCAAAGTCAAAATACTAGGTAAATAACCACTGAGTGGCACAGTAAAAAATCAGGTAACACACAGTCAAAATTCCAGGTAAATAATCAACAGCTAGAAAATTTTTATATTAAAGCCACCAGAATAATCAAGTGTATGGATAGCACATTAATTTGTTGCATATAGAATTTATTAACTATCATAACTTTTGTAGGAGCTGATTCATTGAGGGTGGAGTTTGATCGCCGATGTTCTACAGAGAGGAGACATGATCCCTTGACAATCTCAGACAGTTCTGGTAGAACCCTGGCTGTAAAATCAGGTAATGAGCTCTATATTTTATAAATGAAGACTTGAATTATAGGAATTTTGATAGACTTGTTAAGTGTAAAAATGTACCAGTAAAATCTCATAATTTCAATTTTGTAGATAATTTCAAGTTTATCCTTATCATTCTTGAAAATTTACAATTTTTACTTTTTATTTCAGGACGAGAGTGGTCTGATTGGTCCCAGGAGCTGCGGATTGACGGAGATGAGCTGCGATGGAAGTTTGTCAGCGACGGCTCCGTTAACGGCTGGGGCTGGTACTTCACTGTGTATCCCATCATGCCTGCTGCTGCTCCCATGGACATGCTCTCTGACAGAACAGTCCTGTCGCGTCCTTCCATTGACCTGGTCACCTGTCTTCTGGACTTCAAACTGGACATTAACCTGGCCAGGAATATCGTCACCAGACTGGCCGCGACTCTGGCTGCCAATGCTCAGCTGAGTTCACTAGGTTTGTTTCTAGCTCTGAATAAATTTTCTCCCAAAGCACTAGTAGTCAAATGCAAGGTGAATGTTGAAAAAAAAGATGTGAAGTTGATCGAAAAAGTATGTTGATAGAGTGCAAATGAGAAATATTGCACTTTCAACTGTGGGTGTGTCCTGAATCTTATTTAGATATATTAGAAAAGGTCAAGGATATGGAGAGAAAAAATAATTAAGTGATGGAGGAAGTCAATTTATTAGCTCTTACAATATCTATGTTCATTTTCAACATTCATTTATCCATATCTAAGTGAAGTAAATATGTCCTGAGGTAATTTTTTTCTCAGAGTCATGGAATAATTTTGGTGTCTCTTTATTACAGGGTCCAGCCAGAGAATGTGGGCTTTACAAAAACTCCGAAAACTGATGACCTCTGACACCTCGGAGCAGATCGTCAATGTCAACACGTTACTGGCCAGTCCCACTGTGGAGACAGCGGAGCCCGACCTAACACCTCGATCCTCCACAGCAGTAAGTACCTGTGTAATCCCACATCCATTGGGAGGCAAAGTTTGCTTCATAATAGACAAGGTTAAAATGGGTATGAGAATATAGGAGGAATATATGAGGAAATATGGTAAAATGGATTGCACATATGTCAGATTAGAAGTTTTCAATGTAGTATTATCCATTAGATGATCATTCACATGCATATACATGTACATGAGGAATATTGTGTTCTTGCTGTCTTGAAAAATGCTACTAAGGAGCATCGTATAAAACAGGACAAAAAAAGAAAATATTGTTTTAACTAATGGATAAGAAATTAGAATCCATTATCAGTAACAATATATTGGTTTTCCTTGTACAGCTCCTGAGCAGTTCCTCGGTGACCTCCCTTGTTAAGGGTCTACCTGAGGCCCTACAGAGACAGTATGACTATGAGGATCCTATAGTAAGGAGTGGCAAGCACCTGATGCACAGCCCATTCTTCAAGGTACAGTGTCTACGAGTGGGCAGTTATGTTAGTAGGGATAATTATGTCTTGCGATTTATCGGGAGATAATTTTGCATGAAACTTCATTATTTAAGATGTAATTACAAAGATTTTTTACCTTTAAATATGAGGAGATGGAATTTATTCAAGTACGGGGCATATTGAACAGTAATACATGTACATGTATTTCTTATCTTTTAATGCATAGTTTCTAAAAATCAGTTCTTTTTCTAGACATTGAACATAGAACTGGTGTCTCCCTGTAACATCAAGTGCATATCATATTAATCACAATTTGCTGGGCTATCTTTCCAGGTTCTAGTGGCCTTAGCCTGTGACCTTGAACTGGACAAGCTGAACTGCTGCAGTGAAGCACACAAGTGGGCGTGGTTCCGTCGCTACTGCATGGCAGCACGCGTCGCCACGGGGATTGTCCAAAGGACTGCCTTGCCAATCTCTTTCCTGGAGGAGGTCCGAAAAAAGATTCTGGACATTTCGTGTGATGAAGAAGAGGATACAAATGCTCATGAAAATCACGAAATTTTCAAACAAGAACAAGATGAACAGTTACTGTTGTGGTTGAACAGGAAACCGGAGGAATGGACTTTGTCCTGGGGAGGGAGTGGTCAAATCTGGGGGTGGGGCCACAATCACAGGGGACAGCTTGGGGGAGTGGACGGTGCCAAGGTCAAGCAGCCGGTCAGCTGTGAGGGTCTAGCGGTCACCAGGCCCATTCAGTTGGTAGGAGGGGAGCAGACCTTGTTTGCAGTGACAGCTGAAGGAAAGGTCAGAATGCTTTAAATATAAAAATGTAAATCATTATATAGCTCATTTAAAATGATCAGATGTTCCAAGAAAAAACTTATTAAAATTGATAGTAAATATACACTTAAATTGATAAAAATCTGTAGATTCCTGAGTACTTTAACAATAACGTCTCTCCAAGAAAAACAACTTCTTATTAAAATTTTATATTGATTTAAGAGTAAAAGCTTGGGTAGATTTTTAAAGCACTATAATTTACTCGCATTGATGATTACAGAGTGACATTAGATATTCTTTATCTTTTTTCCTACAGGTGTTTGCTACAGGATATGGGGCTGGCGGGAGGCTAGGAGTTGGAGGGACAGAGTCTGTGTCCCACCCCACACAACTGGAGTCCATTCAGCATGTGTTTATTAAGAAGCTGGCCGTGAACTCGGGAGGGAAGCACTGCCTGGCCCTGTCTGCTGATGGGGAGGTGTACTCCTGGGGAGAGGGAGAGGACGGGAAACTAGGTCACGGTAAGTAGGTCAAAGGATGTTTAAAAAATTTGTTTTAATCTGGTTAATTAAATTATTTTCATTCAATATAAAAAAGATCTTAAATATTAATGAATCTTCAAATTAAAAAAAAAGTTAGATTTAATGTGTGTGAAGAAATAATGACCTTGAAAATGCATGTGAATTAGTTTGTCCTTGGTGAATTGTATTTATGAATCTACTTTTGAATTCACATCAAGTAATTATCCTTAAAAAAGTATCTTAAGAGCCTGTCTACGAGAAAACCCTGCAGATATATAGAAATAAGCTCTGGTAGGCATTCTCAAGAACAAACTAATTTTCATTATTAACTTAAAGGACACCCATTCAGAGTCAGAAATATGTTGTTTATTTTTGCATCTGTTGTTTCTATTTTTAGTAACAGCCAATAATTCATTTTGGTCAATATTCAAGGGAAAATGCAAAAAAGTTGGTGTAAAAATGACAATTTCAATATTTAAAAGTAAAAAAGAAAAACAATATATAAATAAAAGGGCAATGTTTTCTCATAGAACTGAGTCGTAAAATTAAGTTGGAATCAATTTTTTTGTAAAACCCCTATATAGAAGGCTGTCCGGAGGTCACAAATATTGGCATGGTGCCAAGAAATGATAATGGTTCATTTTTTGTTAATATTGAGGGATACATTTCTTAGAAAGTGACGCTTCTTTTTTCAGAATTTTGTGCATTTAAGAATCTCTAGGATATTATCCCAACAATATGTAAAATCCACCTTTGGACTCTCAAGGACAGAAAAGTTATATCGTAATGAATTTACCTCAAATTCAAATGATGGAAAAATTCATGCTTTTATAAGGTTTACTTTAAACAGTAATTTTAATGAATTTTGTGTAAAATATTTACAAATATAAACAATGAAAATTATTTTTGATTTTATAAAAGCTATAAATATTTTTTTCCCTGCTTTTCCTGTGAAAAAAACGTATTTTGCTATTTATTTAGATTTTGTTAGAATTATCTCCCCTGTAGCGCTCTTCTGTAGAGAAGGTAGATAATGATTATGTTTACGAAGTTTAGAAACAGATGTCTGTCATCTAATCGTTTTAGGCATAAAGTATGTGTGATTTGAAGAAAATTGTCCCTCCTGTGAATGTAATTTGTTACGTATATACTAGTGGCCTGTGTATAGAATGCATAGAATATTATGAAAACCATCGGGATCGATGTACGGTTCCGTAACCACGTGTAAACATTATGGCATCCTGAGACGTTTTGTTACCGTTTTGTACGTCCTCAGAAAAAGATTCAGGTGCGTGAATTGTCAACGAGTCTTCAGATTCTGACTCTGATTTTGATGAATATGATTCTGACAGCAAAATTCATTTGGTAGCAAGACGGATGTAGTGATGATGATCATGATGATACCGAATCAACAATGTTTGAATTTGAAAAAGAAACAGGTAGGTGGATCTTGATTTATAATACTATGTACCTTATAAAAAGGCTTATTGATATGTAAAAAATAAATAAATAAACAATTTTGATGGGGACTTGATTATGGACAAGGGAAGATTTTTTACAAGACACTATCAGGTCTGGTACAATCACTAGATTTAGCTATATATTACGTAGCTTGATTTACCTACTTAGTTAGCTTTATTTACCTACCTGAAGTAGCTTTATTTAGCTATCAAATTAATTTATTTCTATAAAAAATACCTACGTAGCTAAATCTAGTGATTGTACTGGACCTGAATATATACCTAGCAAACCTGTCAAGAGAATATATTAATTTCAAGGTTGGTACTTGTACATGTAGCAATAAAAATATCTGTATATATAAATTCAACAATATTGCAAAATATTCACATCTGCAGAATTATAAATAGCATAAGTTGCTTTTGTGGGGTGATGAAGAGGGAATGAAAAGTTGAATAGGTCCAGGGTTTTCAAAGACTGTTTCTAATAGGGTACATTAAGAATTGGATAGGTGGGTCTTCACTGTCAATTAAATCACCATTATTGCCTCATATGTGGGCTGCATGATTATAAAGAATCTCATTAAACAAAATATTTTTCTCAGATATTCATGAAATGTTATGAAGATGGCTACAGTTATGATTTTTGGCTTTTAATATATGATTAAAGGAAAAGAGTTGTCAAATAATTGTGCAGACTTTTCAAATTAAAGGTCACCATGTGTTCCTTGACAGGTTTGTGTTTAAAACATAACTAATATTATAAATATAAGTTTGGGAAATAATACTTTGTAAAGAATATTTCCTTTCATTCTTATATTTCTCGTGCAATTTCAGATTATTCAAATTCATTTCCCTGGTTAGGGCTGGGCTTTACAATGGGATTTTCAGCTTTGGAGCTATAACGAATTACTACATAGGGTTTCCAATGTAGGATTGTGAACAGAATCCAGAAATAAGAAGAGGAGAGACAATACAGATGCAGCATTAGCATTACCAATTACTTACCACTGCTGAGAAAATGGTAAAGATATGTTATATTATTATACCTCTACTGTAATTACTCTGTATAAATTAATACCATAAAACTCTCTATTTCCAAGAGAAGTGACTATTGCCCTCATCTGAAGACTACTCCCTGGAAAATCAGAGCTACTCTTTGGGATTACTCCCTCATGAATATTTATTAGTAATTTTAACCAATCAAAGTGTTCAGTGGGTGGAGCGTTCAAGGAATCGCTAGTCTGTGACGTCATGTTATTAGCAATGTAGCTATGATGTCAAAACATTTCGACGTGCGATGTCAAAATCATACTTGAATTCTACCAAAATGAAGGCAACGATAATTTTTGAAACGTCAGTGAAAATACTTTTTAAAAATAATTTAATTGTTTAAGGACATGATGCTTCACTTATCATACAATGTGTTAAACCGCATGCATTTGTAATTATGCCTCTACAGTTTTTTTTTTAATTTTGGAATATCTGGTTAAAAAAATTTAGATCGCCTATCATTGTTTGGTATAATAAAAGAGTTATGGAATGGGAACTCGGGAAATAGCAAATTTATAGTTCCCCTCAGCAGAAAACTATTTCCTCCGGGAAATAGTTAAATCCTCCCTCGGGGAATCATAAATTTGCTATTTCATACCCATTTTATAACTGTATACTATGGTACATGGATAGGAATTGCCTTGTCTGTCTGTTGATTTGCCACATGCATTTTTCCCTACTCTGTTACTTTACCTCAAGGATATATGAAGCTCTTGTTTTCTTCAAAGATAGCCAGAAGAATTTGTGAAGAATCTTACCCAAGTCATTTGATGACATTTTCTTCAATTGATAAATATAAATGTAGCATTATCATAAACATGACATTTATTTTAAAAATCTTAGAATATGTCTAGTATGGTTTATTTCAATTTAATTTGAAAACTGCCCTTTTTCACAGGTACATGCCTTGAGTACTACCTTTGTGTATTTGGAGACAGTCCAGTTCTTCTTTAAACCAGAATTGGAAATTTCAGTGCTTGTTAAATTTTCTCCAGAAGTTATTGGATGCTACAAAGGAAGAAAATGGGGTCATACTGAACAGAATAGTTTGGATACACCTTATAGATTTTGAAAGCTTGAGACCTCAAGATCAACCCAAATGGTGTACCAAACATGAAGAAAAAAAGACAGTTTATGATTGAAGAAGCTTTTGTAGTAGCCAAAATTTCAGGGTATTTCATATATGTTAACTTATACGATTTTATTGGTACAATGTACTTAAACATTGTTAATATCTTGATATTTAATATGTATCAGGTTTCACTTGCAGGAATACACAAAAATTCAGAGTAAATTTTAAGTGTTTGTTATGTTAGAAAAGATCAAAGTTCAAGGTCAACAGTGCTTTAGTTTTACCACATATAACGCCATTATAAAGACTAATTTCCTGTATACGGATATAGCAAATAATTCAGAATATGATTTGGGGAAACTGTGATTTTTTTTTTCCAAATCTTACCTTAATTTAGAACCATGATGTATAATTAAGCAAGTAGATTTTTTTTCAAGCATACAAAATTTCAAGGTCATTTTAATTTTGGAAGTGAATATAAAATATCAGGAAGCAGTCTAGCATTGTAATTTTGTTGTTGTTGAATGTACTTAGTTATTGAGTAATATTCAAATTTTAATCTGCAATCAAATTAAAATTTATAAATGTTCTAATTTGTTGATTTTTAAAACTTGGTGTTCATTCATTTTGAGTTTGTTGCCATGACAATATGTCTGTCAAGAAAATTAATGGCTCTGATATTCCTTTTTGTTCAGTTTGACCCTTGACCTTTGACATTGTGACCTCAAAATCTAAGGGGTCCTCTACTTTTCAAGAAACCAGTGTACTAAATTTGATGTCTGTCAAGCAATATGTCCTCAAGATTTTGAATGATTAAAATCTACATACTGGTATATCGAGAATTATAACCCTTGACCTTTGACCTTGTGAACTCCAAATTAAAAGGGGCCATCTACTTATTAGTAGGTACCAGTGTACTATGTTTATTATCTATCAAGCAAATGGGTTTTTTTTAAGATAAGAGAGAACACACTTGGTCTACCAATTGACAAACAGGTACTTAGCAGTATGTGAATATCACCCTGCTCAAAGAAAATGTAAAATAATACAATTCTGGTACCCCCCCCCCCCTCCCAAATTAACCCCATTTATTCCCCTAAGAAATAATTATTGCTTGAAAACAAAAATGTACAATTTACTGGTATTTTTCAACAGCAAAATTTAAATTTTTGAAAATATTTAAATCAGCAAAATAACTCCTTGCTGAAGTTCAGGGATGAGAAAATTTAAAAATTCTCCAAAAAATGTCCAACTTTAAGTAAAAAGTACAGCAAAATATTTGAGAGTCCAAAGACAGATTTTTTATATAATGTAGACAGACATGTTGTCTAATAATTGTATGAGATTGAGTTGATTCTAAGCGTCACTTTCTGAGTTATAGGTTTTTGAAAAGTGAATATTTTCACCAGTTTTCAAAAATCTGGAAATATGCCAGATTTGTGACCTTTTTGCACTTAAACGAGGGCACAGTTTGTGATTATGAAAAATTTTCTGAAACAAGTGTATCTTGTTACTTTCAACCATATATGGATATTTTATATCATTATCAAGTAAAATGCTGAATTTTTAATTATAAAATTCTTGTTTTCACCCTGCGTAAGGACCAAGAATTCTATTTTTAGTAACAGTGTCGATTTAACCCCTTAAGTGAGACCACACTGAAAAAAATTTTGTGGCAAAATATTTCATATTATAGAAGAAATTTACACATTAAACATGAAGTTGATCCGAGAACCTTGCTCCCATAACCTCTTGCATGGTTTTCTCGTAGACATGCTCTTAATGAGAAATTTTTCAATACTGACAAAACTATAAGTCATAGTACTGTAGTTTGTTTAAAAATACATGTAGTACAAGCAAACCAAGCCTCTCTTTATTTGTTTCCTAGTCCCTGTGACAGACCCCGAGTGATAGATTCCCTTAGAGGGAAGGAGGTGGTGGATATAGCAGCCGGAGGGGCACACAGTGCCTGTATCACAGCTAACGGGGAACTGTACACCTGGGGCAAGGGACGATATGGTCGCCTGGGGCATGGGGACAGTGAAGATCAGCCTCGCCCCAAACTGGTAGGTTGACATGGAAACTTGACATGCTATTATTCTGAAAGGTACATTTAGTTGTGATTGGGTAGGTGTTCCAAAGAAAGCAACATTTCTTCATGATATTCAAAGAAAGGCATTTTAAAAATTTTGTTAAATCTTATGTATACCAGTTTTGCAAATCTTTTATCTTTAACATTTAGATACATGTACAGTGTATAAGGCTGAGTTTTGTATTTATTGAATCAATATTGTATTTGAAATTATGTCATATTCTATTTTTAACTTAGGTGGAGGCCCTGAAATCCTACCGTGTAATTGACGTGGCGTGTGGTAGTGGGGACGCCCAGACTCTGTGTATCACTGACGATGACAATGTCTGGTCTTGGGGAGATGGGGATTATGGGAAATTGGGTAATTCCTTAATTCTCCTACTGTATATTTCTCACCACTCTTGATACTTACAGTGTACATGTATGTGTTGTATGTGCATGTGTATCTGATTCAGATATATTTGTATGTGAACATTTTGAAAGTCTGTATTTGTTCAAATTGCCTTTTCTTTTCTGAATCCAACTGCAATTCAGTAGTCTATTTGGTGAAAACTTCAGTGTCTTAAAAACAGCTGATTTGTGTGTTTTAAATAGGTCGTGGAGGAAGTGATGGCTGTAAAGTGCCAATGAAAATCGAGACACTGATGGGTCAGGGGGTCATGAAGGTGGAGTGTGGTTCTCAGTTCTCTGTGGCACTCACTAAAAGTGGAGCTGTCTTCACATGGTAAGGAAAATTATTTATTACAGTGAATAATAAAAACTGCATTGGTTTAAAATATGAATGCATTTAGAGAGCCGTATAAATACTGTAAATCAACTAGAATTGTTCCTGTAATCTTTTATTAGCCTTTCGGTATTTTAAAATCAATTCTTGAAAATTAATTTTCGCAACATAAGAAATACTCTCTCCAAATACACAGTGGTTTGCGGCTATAATATTTGCAAGTCAAGGAGAGGGGTGAATCATCTGAATATTTATCATCAGGTCCTACAAATAAAAGCTGGTTTACAGTACATGTAAAGTAATAACAAGATTTATATAATTTGAAGTTTCACCCTTTCTTTCAATATTTGGCTCCATGTGTAATTTTCCTTTAATGAAATTGTGTTTTAAATGACGTCCTCCTTTATAGGGGTAAGGGAGACTACCATCGTTTGGGTCATGGATCTGATGACCACGTCAGGCGCCCCCGCCGAGTGTCAGCTCTCCAGTCTAAGAAGGTCATTGACGTGGCCTGTGGTTCCCTCCACTGTGTGGCCTGCACTGATACTGGTAACTAGTATAAAGATATTGTAATTGATAATTTATTGTATTTATCCCATCTCAATTATCCCTTGTTTGCAGCAGACCCTTTTGAGAAACATGAAATATTACAAAATTAATATTAATTTACTGTTATATTGTGGATTGTGAAATTGTACTCATTAATGAAGTTTCTATTAAAGAATGGGTGGACTTAACGCCTTATTTTGGATCTTTTTGCGACTCCTCTACCAAGCTGTAAATGAAGTGAATCCAAAATATATTACGAGAAATGGAAAGAGCTACATATACGTGTACTTGGTTATATTAATTGGAACATTTGTACAAAAACAATGCCCTGTTGCTATGAATCAAAATTGAAGCAATGATACATGAGTGTCATCTTCCCGAATTTGACCTGTACCCGGAGTGGTTTTTAGCTCACCTGAGCCGAAGGCTCAAGTGAGCTTTTCTGATCAAAATTTGTCCGTCGTCTGTCGTTGTTGTTGTCGTCGTTGTTGTTTCATCTTCTTCTCGAGAACCACTGGGCCGATTTCAACCAAACTTGGCACAAAGTATCCTTGGGTGAAGGGGATTCTAGTTTGTTCAAATGAAGGGCCACGCCCTTTTCCAAGGGGAGATAATCATGAATTTGTTAAAAATTAATGGCATTTTTAAAAAATCTTCTTCTCCAGAACTGATGGGCCAGGAAAGATGAAACTCATGTGGAATCATCCTCAGGTAGTGTACATTCAAGTTTGTTCAAATCATGACCCCCTGGGCAAGGGTGGGGCCAAAATGGCCGACCCTAGTTTTACATTGGAATATATAGGAAAAATTTTTAAAAATATTCTTCTCAAGAACCACTAGGACAGGAAAGATGAAACTCATGTAGAATCAGATCCTCAGGTAGTGTACATTCAAGTTTGTTCAAATCATGACCCCTGGGGCTAGGGTGGGGCCAAACTGGCCGACCAAAGTTTTACATAGGAATATTTAGGAAAAATCTTTAAAAATCTTCTTCTCCAGAACCACTGGGCCAAAAAAGATGAAACTCGTGTAGAATCATCCTCAGGTAGTGTAGATTCAAGTTTTTGCAAATCATGACCCCCGGGGCAAGGGTGGGGCCAAAATGGCCGACCCAAGTTTTACATTGGAATATATAGGAAATATCTTTAAAAATCCTTCTGAAGATCCACAGGGCCAGGAAAGATGAAACTCATGTGGAATCATCCTCAGCTAGTGTAGATTCAAATTTGTTCAAATCATGACCCCCGGAGGTAGGTTGGGGCCAAAATGGCCGATCAAAGTTTAACATAGGAATATATAGGAAAAATCTTCTTCTCAAGAACCATTGAGACAGGAAAGGTGAAACTCCTGTGGAATCATCCCCAGGTAGTGTAGATTCAAGTTTGTTCAAATCATGAACCCCGGCGGTAGGGTGTGGCCAAATGGCCGATAAAAGTTTTACATAGGAATATCTAGAGAAACCTTTTTAAAATCTTCTTTTCTAGTACTTTAAAGCCATGCTTAGTGATATTTATAGGGAATCATCCTGAGGTAGTGTGGATTCAAGCTGTGTTCAAATCATGACCCCCTGGGGGTTAAAATTCCCCCCCCCCCCTCAGTAAACTTTCAGTTCTGATCTGACGTGTGCTTTTTCCTAGCCAATTGCTCAGGTGAGCGATGTGGCCCCTGGGCCTCTTGTTTTATGTGTAAGGGACTGCTTGCTTTCTCTACAAGGAATAAATGATAGGATGGTGATAAATTTGTCGTATTTTGAATTAATAGGAAGCTGCCTTCAGAAAAGTTGTACAGGCAACTATGGTGAGAGACAAACAGCATGGACCAGTAGTGGAACTTAACAGGCTACAGGTATGGGAGTGTACACATATTATTAGTGAGGAATGGTCAAGATTATAAATAAAGGTAGTAAGGGAGGATGCTGTAGTAGAAAATTGACATTTAATTAAGGGGAATGTTCCATAAGAAGAGAAAGGAACACTTGATTCATGCACAGATTCTTCAATGCAATTATTTTTATCAATATGCACCAATATCTAATGACCATAAAGAGTGGTTACTGTTCGGTCAAATTTTCAATTTCACCCCTTTCCGTCATCATATACATGTATACCAGTAGTTTAAGATAATATACGTGTGCTGTGGGTGATAGTACCTTTTCTCCTTTGACTTTAGGAGAGAGTGTAGATGACTGTGGAGGGGGGTATAGTGAGTCTGTGGCTGAGATGTGTGACGAGTTACAGAACGGATCCCTCCCCCTCCTCATCGTCACCTCCAACGGACGGGGAGAGTCCGGGGCTAACAGGGACTGCTTTATCTTCAATCCCATGGCCAAATCTCCAGTGCATGTCAACATGTTTAAATTCTCAGGTATGAGTTATTTTCTTTATGTGATAGCATTGTTTTCAGGTCAATTATTTGTACATTGAGATGGTTCAAAAATAATTTGAGCTCTTTGAGAAAGAAGCTTATAAATTACCTTCATATGAAACCACATTCAATTTAAAGTAGTTATTGTTTAAAAATGTAATCAATAGATGAAATATTACAAAGAGAGTAAAAAAGAAGTAAGCTCTTTATCAGTGTTTAGCCTGTATTTTGTAGGTGTGTTATTTGGCATAGCCATTAGAAGTGGCAGTCCCCTGAGTCTGAACATTGCGGAGCCTGTGTGGAAACAGGTGGCTGGGATGCCCCTCAGTATATCAGACCTGGCAGAGATTGACAAAGACTGTGTTCCAGGTATTGTAACAGTAAAAAAAAATGTGCAACTGTATGTACCATGAGTTTTTTAAATTTATCAATACATATGTATATCAAAGTATGAATTTTAGATAAAATCTGTAAAAAAAAATTGTGACATATCTTTTAGAAAAAGGTTTTAGAGATTTAAAAGGGGTATAAATTGTTTTGTGATGAGATCTTTTTGGGTATCAGTATAGATTTTGAGTGAAAAAAAGTTGGTATGCTTGTCAATGAATGGTATTGTTGATTTGGCTTTTTAGGTCTGATATGCATAAAAGATCTGACAGATGAGAAACTCCAGGCTGTAGAGATGCCCTTCAATATCCCCAGCTCTTCTGGTCAGGAGGTACAATTGTCAGCCAAATACAGCAAGATAACTCGTGCAAATAAAGTGGAGTACATCAAACAGGCCATTAATTACAGGTAAGGAAAGTGATCCAGAAATTTTTATTAACTGTATTCAGTTTAAATCTGCATTAATATTGTGCTTTGTTTTACTTAGAAAAAAAAGAGAAATTCTTGGAAGTATGATATCCCTTTGTAAGGGATTTGAAGGGGATGTAATTGTAGAAATGGGACTTGCTGTATGTAGTGGCAGTTTGGTAAACAGCTCTTAGATAAGAATTATGTATATAATTTATGTTTATAGAAGTTATTTTTGTTTTCACATTTCATTTTTTGTTGTATCAAATTTATTTTGTCTTAGCATTATTTTTTCCCCCTTAGAGCCTCTTTACCCTCTTCATAACCCAGCCTCACTTTAGCATCTTTTCGTGACGTCATTGCTTACCGTATATACCCAGCCTCACTTTATGTCCGACTTATCTTTGAATGGTGACGATATCATTGCTATATATAGGCGAGTATATACGGTATATCATTGCTGGTGCGTGTTTCCAAAAATCATTGTTTACATTTTTGATTTCAAGTCATCTGATGCCGTTTTTTCCGTTGCCTCATCATGTAGAAACTTTTACTACTGGATGTGATAATTCTTGTGTATTCATTGTGTGGATCTGTTTTGTTTGTGACAAGAATCTGTGATTTTGTAACGGGATACTTCCATTCCTTCGCCATGGCGTCAAGGCGCAGGTCTAAGAACACGATGGACGTGACTAATCCAGCAAACTGGACTAACGCACAATTAAAAACAGCGTTGAAAGACTTGGGAATTAACATTTCTATTCCTCTGAATAACAGCCAGTTAAGAAAATTATACGAAGACAACAAAGAGAGACAATCCTTCTCAGCGGAAAATAGTTCCCGCGCTCTGTTCGAAGAAAATAGTGCCAAGGCAAGTATGCAGAAAAACAATGAAACATCCGCCAGTGTCGCTAGTACAATCTCTGTTTTAAATACAGAATCTGTTTCTCAAAGTTCCACTAGTCAAAACAGGGATTCTATGACGGCGATGCAACCGACTACTCAATCCCTACCTCGCAATGATACATTGCAGTTAACTTCCGCCCAGGGCACCTCGACGTTGGAAACCCTACCTCGCACACAGACAACTTCCGCCCAGAGTACTTCGGAAGGCATCGGCAATAATCACAAATTAGAAAGCGAACTGGTAAATACGCTTCAACTTTGCCAGCAAACTTTACTGCAAGTGACGCAAAAAAGCGAGCCATCATCAAACTTTAGCTTGCAGTCGGCTATGGCAGTATGTCAAACTCAGGTCAATGCATTCCCCTCCATGTTGTACCCAGTACGTACCAGCAGTGACGCAAGCCAAATGTCAAGGCCATCATTCGGGGTACCTGCATCATCGATCTCAGACATCGATATCATTTCGCCAGAAGTTCGGCAACAGATAGTAGCAGATACAGAAATTCTGTCAACTGGCGCCGAATGCAGAAGAACAGTCAACACCTTGTCCACCGCTATCCCAGATTCTTTGGACTGCGCAGTAGAAAACCTCTGGATGCATGCTTTATCCCGTGCCACTCTAACGGCCTACGAAGCTGGTATGGACACGTACAAAAAGTTCCTTTTACTGCAGGGCACAACATGGGATGATGGAAGTCTGCCACCCATGTCGGAAAGGCTTCTTATGCGTTTTGCAGCGTTTTGTGACGAACATAGAAAAATTAAACATTCAACAATCAAACTTTATTTGTGTGGATTCTTTTACCTAAAGCAAGGTGGTTTCAACCCCTTGATTCTGGAATTTTAAAACCTAAAAAGGCAGAGGTGGTATTCAACCCCTTCGGCTCAAATTATCAGTAAACGGCTATTTTATTATTATCTCTTACCTGGAATCCAAATATGT